AGATCTTAAATAAAAAGGTGGGGTAGAGGTACTTATTTAAAAAGATCTTATTTGCTCTCCAACATGCTTATTTTAAAAAAAAATTAGATCTTTTTCTAAAAAATTACCAAACACTTTGGAAGAGCTTATAAGCTCTAAAACATCTTATGAGCTCCTTTTAACATCTTATAAACTTAGCCAAACACCATCTTAATAAAATGATCATTGCTTTGTAGCTAGCTATAAAGAGATGGCTCAGCTAGCTAGCTATTATTTTCGTGTACAAAATCGGTCTGGGTAAACCGATTTGGGATACCAACGAAAACACACAAACAAAAAAACCAATTTCAATCTCAATCTTTTTTCCAAAATCGGCTAAAACATTACAACCCAACAAGAAGTAAACATAGAATAATATTGATCCACGCATATTTATCAAGAATCGATGCTCGATTAATGTTTTTGAATTGACAAACAAAAGTTTAGTAAAAAAGACATACTTGTTGGTGGTGGTGAGGTGGTGGTGATGGTGCGATGGAGGTGGTACGGTGGGTGGGTCGTTAGTCGTGGCCGGCGCGGTGGAAGTCTCGTTGGTTCGTGTCTCGGCGGTCTGGCGGCGGCAATTGTGAGTTATTTTTTTCTTTTTTCTATTTTTTTTTTATTATTAATTTTTTTTATTTTTGGTCATGAAGAAATTAAAAATAGGGTTTGTTTGTATTTTAGTATTATTTATTGATAAGAGTATATTCGTTCTCTTTGGTATTGATGTAATAAAATAAGATTAATTTACGGGTTTGAACTAATAAAAAATGGGCTTATATATACCTGCTGCCTTTGGTAAATTATGTGCAACGACAAGATAATTATTAGGCCCATTCGAGTTGTTGGGTGAACCGGATAATAAGGTTACACATTTAGCCCATTAAGTAGTTTCAATCTAGTACAAACCCATGAAGGCCCATTAGGAGATGATTTATTTTTATGACATGTGTACATGTTTATTTTATTTTAATCAATTAGCAGCCCAAAATGTGAACTTACTAATCATCAAATTAAAGTGATGAAATTAAAGTTGGAGATATCCATTATTAATCATCCATTCCAAACTCCAAATATTGTTGACATTTCTCAGAGTCCAATAAGCCCACCCAAAGCTAGCCCGCCCAAACACCTCTAGCTGCGCCGCCGCATATCTTTGGTAATCCTCCTTCGCCGCCCCTCTCACTTGCCACTCCGCGACCCATTCCCCTAATTAATCACATCAATTTCCAAATTAAACATATTTTTCAAAATATAAAGACACACAAAATTAAATTAATTAATTTACTTACCGACAAAAATAAGGGGGCCATTTGAAGTAGTGATCTGGGTCAACTGTGCGGACCGGTTATTGTAGACGTAGTCAATATTCTGCTGGACACTCATATTATCGAATATACTCGAGTAGAGATTGTAGTAATGTACGTCAATCGCCGATTTAGTGAACCCGTTTGCTAGACCGAATAACTCGGTCGGTTCACTCGGCCCTAACCGGTTCGACAGAACCACGTAAACCGTCTCCGAGTATTTACGGACAGCATCATACGCACCTCTGTAATACTTGCTTAAATTCTCCAATGAAACACCAGGTGAAAGCGGCTCGTTTATTAACTCCACCGCAAATAAACTCGGGCTACTTGCATACCTGTAATTATTTATTTATTTATTAATATATATTAATTAATGTATGTTATTGTTATGATCTGATCACTCCAAACTAAATAATAAAGAAATAAGGGTAAATTACGAACCCCCAACTTAAGCTAAATAACAAAAAACACCCACCAATCTGTAATTATCAAAATCCCCATTGATTAACTGTTTATCGAGTTTTTTTTAATATAATAAAAGAAAATATATGAAATTGTGTAAAGTCTATTTTCTGGAATAAATAAAAAATACGTGAAAAGTCACACTGTAAGTGGGCGCGGACCGGTAGGTAGGGGGGATAAAATATTTTTTAGAGGGGCTATGGGATATATTAGTAGATAATTAATAATATAAAATAAAAAAGCATTAAAAAAAATGACAATTTTTTTTTTTCCTGTCGGAGTGCCCCAAGCCACAAGGCAGTTCCGCCCCTGACTGTAAGGGGGTTGGTGCAAGACGAAAACAAACATCACGGAGTTTTTGGTAATTACGAATAAGTGAGGGCGTTTTTCGTTATTTAGCCTATGTTCAGGGGGTGTTTCTGTAATTTACCCAAGAAATGATGAATTACCGAGCGGTTAAAAAGTCGATGACGAGGACGGTTTCTTCGATGGAGTCGTCGGTTAGTCCCCATTCTTGAGAACCGTCTCGGGAGGAACTGTGCTCCCAACCGTTTTGTGAACCGGGTGCTGCGTGTAGATCAACGATCACTTTTATCCCATATTTTCTGCATTATTGCAAATTAAGGTGTTAAAAAAAACGTGTTTTATTTTATACGAAAAACGTGTTTTTAACGGTAAATAAATTACTTACTGGGCCCAGGAAAAAGCGTTGTCTAGGGCTTGCAATGATCCAGCTACATAAGGCTTAGGTGGAGAAGGGTCACTAGCAATCCACCACCCAACCGGAATTCTAACTGTATTTAGCCCATTTTTCTTTATGAAATTGAAGTCCTCTTCTACTATAAATGTGCTCCAATGTTCCTATTTATTTATTAGACATATATATGTTCGATTTAATTAAGTGTTACAATTTATAATTAATTAAGAGGGGATTAGCTAGGTTTAGTTAATTACCTGCATTACTTGTGGAGCGAGATTAGGGCCGTAGCCATTAGTGAGTTGATATTCACCTTGCATTCTTCCGCTTATTGTTAATAGGAAAATCGATGGGTTATCGTCTCCCCATCCACCATTACTTCCTTCGTAATCTGCTGTAACTAAATCCTCCGTCTTCGCCTACAAATCAAATAGAATATTTAACAAGTGCTTCAAAAGAAGTAGAATTGATTACATGGATGTTTGGCTAAACTTATAAACTGTTAAAAATAGTTCATAAGATGTTTAAGAGTCTATAAGTTCTTTTAAAGTATTTAGTAATTTTTTAAAAAAAATATCTTATATATAAAAAAATGATTTATTTTTTATAAAATTCAATTAACTTTCTAAACACCGAAGAAAATTGTATAATTAATTAATTAAACATAAAAAGCAAAAAAAAGAAGTTATTGGGAAGGTGACACTTGATTCCACTTAACGCTTTTGCATGTGCATATATATTACATAAATGGGCATAATAAAAGAGCCGCCCATACATACATATACTTTAGATTCGGATTCACTTTGGACCATCCACTGTAATTAATTAATGGAATTTGTTCATATTCTTATCCAAATTAAAGCATCAAATTAATTATACCCAACTTTTTCTGATCATAAAATTATTTCATTAATTACTATATTATAAGGTGTGGGTAATTAAATAAATTATCACAATAAATTATAATGATATATATATAGTCTGTACGTATATTCGTAATCATGTGTACATATATGTGTTAATCACTAAATTGTTACAATATGGATCAATGCAGGTGTGATGTATTAAGAGTATTTGCTAATTATGATAAGGTGAATGGGATTTTTGAAAGTGCTAATTTAATTAGTTAATTAATGAAATAAATAAATTACCTGGAGAAAGAATCCGTTAGGGGCTTTGATTCGTACGCGGTTTAAATCGTCGGGATTTCTTTGAATTTCGAAGGTTTCGGTTTGACCAGGTGCATCTGCTAATGCAACTGTATCAATCCCGTTGATTCCTACAAATTTTCTGTTGAAAACCCTAAAGTTGAAAGTCCTCTCATTGATCCTCCATAGCTAATTAATTAATTAGTCAAAACAAACTGTAATAAGTTAATCAATGATATATTAACCAAGTATACTTACATACATACATATATATATATATATATATATATATATATATATATATATATATATGACATACAGAGAATGTTTCCCATCCAGAAGCAGATGAACGGTTGGCAACTATAACGGTTCCTCCTCCACTTTCAGCGCACAAGTATTTTCCCACTGTAACTGATTTGAACTGCACTCCAGTTCCATCCTATCACAATAATAATAATTTAGAATAATTATTACAAATAAGTAAAAAAATAAAAAGAGAAAAAATAATGAATATATAAAAATGGTATTAATTAATTAGTATTTAATCGAACCAGGAAATCGCTGTTGGGAATGCCTTGGAAAAGGGAAGGTTTGATCCAACCTTCAGCAACAAGCCAGCCTCCAAGATTAACTGCTCTAACCGGAGGAATGCTACTGTCGGGAACTGTCCTTCCATTACTATTGGATATCAAAAACATACAAGAATAACATGTCATAAAAAGGATTGGATATATCTTCATCTCTCTCTCTCTCTCTCTCTCTCTCTCTCTCTCTCTCTATATATATATATATATATATATATATGATTATATAGCGGAGATAAAAGGTTGGGGACCGAAAATCTGTTGGGATATTTAATTATCAAATTCTAGAAAACTTTGACTGTTGATATTTTCATTTTAATGGTGCCGAACAAAAAGAATATATTTGGGATGGAATATAGATTTATTTAATGAATATATGGTAAAATGGGGTGTTCAATGTCAACTACAGATAATTAGGTGTGTTTATTTTTCTCCCTTTATGGAGGTGTTGGGCGTTGACTATTGAGGTCAATATGACTCAATCGTATAACAATTTGATTTGAGGGATTTTCTTGCATACCTAGTTTTATGGTCCAGCTGAACAAATTAATTACCTCTGACTATTCACATTCATAATAATATTATTAATAATAAATCTATAAAGTTGTGAAGCCGTGGCCACTTGTTTATTATCCCACGTATGAATTGTGTGTATTGTTTGTCCAAATGATGGTTGACTTATGACTATTTCTTTTGGATTTTTTTTTATTTTTTTATATATTTCACAATATTTTACCTACATATATTTATGAATTAATACATTGCAATTATAGAATAAGTAAAACTTATAGGAAAGATGGATTTTTGTAGCTATAGGGCGTTATGTTAATTTACCCAACTTTAGGTTCTAGAATTTAAGATATTAGAAAATGTGAGTAATAAATGTTGTCCCCCTTTTTTTGACTGCTGAATTATGGTAATCTAATCAAAGCAGTTCGTTAATTGTTTCGTAGATGTATTTATGGGCCCGTGTAATAAAGCCCATATATCTCAAATAACTTAATTTTTTCTTCCTTATATTTTGGTAGCCCATGAAATAAATGGGCCTAAAAGCACTCCAAAAGCCCACACTAATCTTGATCTTTCTGTCAAAGCCCATCCATCCAAAACTCCTACAAATAAAATAATAAATAAATAAGTGAAATGCTTTTTACGATTTGAAAATTGCTATTTACCGTTCATAACAAAAAATCGATTTGTATGGTTTTTGTTTTCGCAAAAACATGGTAGAACGCCCAAGATGGGCGCCCATGGCGTGTATGAACGCCCGATTTGGGCGTTCGTACACGCCCTGGGCGCCCGTCCCGGGCGTTCAATTAAGGTGACGCCCGTCTTGGGCGTTCAATTAGTGTTTTGAACTGTAAATAGTAATTTTCAAATCGTAAAAAGCAAGTCCCATAAATAATGCAGTAATTAATCCCACGTGTAAAACGTGTGGAAATTGGAAACATACTGACAGCTAGGTTTTGGTCCAATAAGAAGTCCAAGACAAACAGCTGCTGTCATATTTATGCTGAGAATGGTCGTTGGGTACACAAATTAAAGGCAAAAGTACAATCAAAACCAAACCCATAAGAAGAGTTAGGTTAGGTGGTGTTGAAATTTAAAACACCAATTTATTTTCGTAATCCATTTTTGATTTTACTATAATTCTGCAAAAACTAACTAAATAAATAAATGTATTGAAAGAAAAATAGAATGAAATGTATATTGGCTTGTATTCTTTTGGACGTCTTTGTATTTTATCTTCTAGTGTATATATATACATTAATTATTGTTTGAGAAAAGAGCTCAAGAAAGTGATAGATTATTAAATATATAATTTTATTATTATTAATTTTTTTTTTGGTAAAGACTCGTATATGTTTATTTACTTATTGATGCAAGTCAATTGGCTCTTCTCGTTTACCAAGTGTTCATAAATAGTTTAATAGTAACCTAATCCTGAATCAGAAGATCAAATTGAAAGATTAAATTAAATATCCGAATTATTACGTTAAATAATTTTATCATATAATTAAATAACTAAATCATATGTCTTTTTTATATGTATATAAGAAATTCTTGATGTACTTTTACACGAGCGTGACGTCATTATATTTTTCTGATATATAATATATATAAAAAAATATTCATAACCACCTAAAAACAAATTCTCACCCACCTACCAAAGGCCAAATTTACGAAATAAAATAAATAAACAATAATTTAAAAAAAAAAAAAAAAAACGCACAACACACACCAGTGTTCTAAAATAGAGTAAAAGTCAGAGACGCCAACGTTTTTATGCTGTCCGTTTGAATCACCAAATCGCCAACTGAAACAAAAGGGCCAATTTTATTTATTTTATTTTAGGATAAATTACAAATACCCTCTGAGGTATGGTCAATTTACAAAAAAACCTCTCTTGTTTGGATAATTACATATACCCCTCAATTATATTTTTTTCTTACACCTCCACCCTTATGAAGTCAAATTCAACATAATCATCTAGATTTCGTGGAATGCGCACTAGTTTGTACTTGTTTTGAGTAAAAATACAGTTTCTAATGCACCACAATCTGATATATACAAGCCAAAAAACACATATTATGATCATCTTGCTTCAAAAAATGGAGAGTTCGAATGTGATAAAACGGGTACAAAAGTTATAATATTTCATATAATTTCGAAAATTCCACTAAATTTAAGGAGTTGAGAGGGTGGTTGTAATTATCCAAACAATAGGGGGTTTTTCGTAATTTGACCATACATCAGGGGTGGTTGTAATTTACCTATTTTATTTTAATTTATTTTTAATTATTGGATTTGCCCTTTCTTCACCAACCCGTCTCGATTTATTTCACAACTTGTACACTAAAGTACAACCCACAACAGCAGGAGACAAACAAGAAACAAAACCCCGCCCCTTTCTTCTTCAATCACCATCGCCGTTTTTTTCTTGATCTTTCCGTCAGATTCTTCGACCAGCATATAAATTAAATTTACAATGCCCTTTATTAATACTGCTGTTGCATTGTATTTTGATGCTGTCTGAAACTTAACGCAGCCCCCCATCTTTTTTTTCTCCGTCACCTTTCCTTGAAATAAACTCTTCCCTCGGTTTTGTCGAACACTCGTTTTGATCCTTGATATTATTTGGGCGTTTCTTTTGCCTTTATATAAATGTAAGATCTTTATCCCTGTTTCTTTTATACAAGGTTCTTGATTTTTTTTTAACCGCTGAATAAGGTTCTTGAATTATTTTTTAAACCGCGCGTTCTTTGTGTAAGTTTGATTTTTGTATTTATTTTCATGTGGGCATTTCGTAATTATGTTTTTTTTCTGTTGCGCATGATCTGCAATTTTGGTTTTTTTTTCTTCCCGATTTTGGATTGTAGATTTGGGCAAGTTTACTTGTGGATTGTAGATTTGGGCATGTTTACTTGTGGATTGTAGATTTTGGATTGTAAATTTGGCTCTATTTCGGGTGATGATAACTTACGTAGTTCTTCTTGAAATGGAATGAATTGGGCGATTTTCGTAGTCTTGATCTCTTGTCCTGATTTATGTTGTAGTATGCAAAAAACTTCGATATATGATAGTATAGTCATATTATACATATTTATTACTGTGTTTGTGCAAGTATAAATAATAAACTTATAATGTACCTCGTTTCACTACAGAATGGCTGCAACTGCATTTCATCAAGCTGTCGGTACACTTCAATCTCGTGGGCAATTAAGTAATTCCGCCCTCAACCAAGAGAACGGAATCGCTTCATTTTGGTCGATTTCAAAGGGCTTCAAGCTCGATTATGCTCTATTAAGAATGGAGAGTTATTGCTCTAAAAAGAGAAGTTTCAGTGCCATTAAACTATCAGCTTCGTCTCAAACTACAGTCTTCGACCCCGTTTCTTCCCCTTCAAACGGCTCAGCTAGTGACTCCAAAAAGAAATCAAGTAATTGCTTCATCAATAGACCGATTGATTGGCCTTCTTTTCGATATAATGTTTTAATATTCGGATTTTTTTTACAGGCGAGGCTGCGTTGATTTTGATCAGGCACGGTGAGTCTATGTGGAACGAGAAGAATCTTTTCACAGGTTGTGTGGATGTGCCTCTAACCGAGAAGGGAGTCGAAGAAGCTATTGAAGCTGGCAAAAGAATTAGTAACATACCTGTAGATATGATTTTTACTTCTGCTTTGATTCGTGCTCAAATGACTGCTATGCTTGCCATGACTGAACACCGTCGCAAGAAGGTATATAAAAAAAATGCGAGGATTTTTTTTTTTAATTTTTTACTATATTGTAAGAATTATATTGCATCTCTGAATCTGAACTGCCATGTGATTGGGTCATTGTAAAGATTGGATCTTTTTATAAAGATTCAACCTTTTTTAGATTGGAAATGTGGCATTTGCTTTATATTCTCAATGTTTGTAGAAAATATTTTACGGGTTTTGGCTGAAGTAAACAAATTCATATATATCTATAGGTTCCGATTATTGTGCACGACGAGAGTGAGCAAGCGAAAGCATGGAGCCAAATTTTCAGCGAAGAAACGAAAAAGCAGTGCATTCCGGTTGTGACAGCTTGGCAACTTAACGAAAGAATGTGCGTATTATTAGGCAATCTTACGCCACTTATTTTGAAGTTAGCATTACATACGTGATATGATTCGTAACGTGTAGTTAGTTACTTTTGTGTAGGTATGGAGAATTACAGGGTCTTAATAAGCAAGAAACAGCAGATAGATACGGGAAAGAACAAGTTCATGAGTGGCGACGCAGTTACGATATACCTCCACCGAACGGCGAAAGCTTGGAAATGTGTGCTGAGAGAGCCGTTGCATACTTTACGGAATTTGTAAGGATTATTACAAGTTTCTTTCGGTTGTACGTTTGCTTGTTTAAGGTACTAACTATTTGGTGAAACAGATTGAGCCGCAGCTTCTGTCTGGGAAAAACGTAATGATTGCAGCACATGGAAACTCGTTGAGGTCCATTATTATGTATCTCGACAAGCTGACTTCTCAAGAGGTGGAATTTCGAACCCAGTGAATTTATGTTAAAAGAAAAAAAGAGTCTTTCTTTATAATTTTGAACTATAATAAGAACGGTGTATTTTTCGATTTATTTATCAGGTTATTAGTTTGGAACTATCGACTGGGATACCGATGCTTTACATTTTCAAAGAAGGGAGCTTTATTCGTCGAGGTAGTCCTGTGGCACCAACTGAAGCTGGTGTTTATGCTTACACTAAGGTAGCTCTTTCGGGTTTTTTTTTTTAATTTAATTCTGGTCTTATTTATTTTATTAGTGGATTTTTGATTGTTGTTCGTCGTCTTCTTGATATGCTGAAAATGTAGGGGTTGGCTCAGTTACAGGCAATACTTAGACGAGATGGTTCAATCTTAATGGAGGTATACGATTAAATTTATGGTTAAAACCCATCTTTACCCTCTATCAAAAGCGCATTCTCAGGATTTACGTCTTTTTTTTTTTTCTGCAGCTTTATCTCTTCTACGAAATTTCTACATAACGATTCAGAAATCGAGAGAAGCTTTCTGCATGGGGTAGAGAGAGATGCATTGTCCCAAATCCATCTTTTTTTGCTTTTTTTTTTAAATTAAGATTTAGTGTTTGAAGTATTTTGCGATAGACTATGATGTTGAACTCCGAAAGAAACTTGTAAAACGACTCCCGACAAATGATGTTCTCGTATAAATATAGTTTGTAATTTTCCAAGTGTTTTGGTGTATTGCTGTAATAATGGTGCTGGTGCTCCATGTGCATGTATGTATGTATAATGTCTAATAATGCAAAATACCGTATTCAATATGTCGTAGCTCAATTGTCATTCTACACATTATATAACTTATAACTTGGGGAAAAAATTCACACGTGCCTTTGTTACTGCAAAGAACACACCAGTATCGATAACGATCAATTCATCGGCAGAGTAAAAACTCAATTATTAACTCTTCTCAAATGGTTCCAGCTAATTAAAAATACATTTAATATTAAGCATACAATAGACAGAAATTTCACAATGAAACAATTCATTATTTCGAAATTCATAAAAGAAAAGAAGAAAAAAACATTTTTTTTCAAGAAGTTAGTTTTTGACAGACAGAGACTCGACAGATGACGTGGCATCGTCATCTTGTTGTTCTTCTTCGTTCTCCTCAGCCCTCTTTGCTTGTTCATCTGAATCCGCATCTGAGTTCGATTTTTCTAAAGGCAGTGGCGATTCAGTAATATAACCGTTTTTCCAAAATTGTGGGGTCTTTTTATCGTCCTCTCTCATTCTCTCAGCGTACTTTTCGATATCAAAATCGGCAATGTCTTTTCCGCCAAATGCAGATTCCACAAATTCCATGTCGAACAATTCTGACATCATCTTGGTTGTGTTGACATCATCCGAGTAAGCGAATTTCACTTTGTTGGCCGTTTTAGCCTCTAGAAACGGCCTGCCTAACTGTGATAAAATAAGAGTAATAAATAAGATGGAGAACAAATATACGATGGAGAGATTGATATACACAGATATATATATATATATATATATATATATATATATATATATATATATATATATATATATAGTACCATATAGTACCATATAAAACGGTTCGAATATTTTAGGTGGATTGTACAGGATTGCAATGCCTAGCCTCTCTGGATAATGCTCTTGCAGCACATGAGCCGTTTCTCGTGTTACTTTAATTGATATATGCGACAAATTGAAACCGTGGAAATCGATCAACCACACCATTTGCTCTTGGCTTTCTGGCAGATTTAAAATTGCATTCTCCATGCAATAAACCAAATACTTAATTTGCCCTTTTATCGACTTCGAGTTCTGCACATGTTAAGCAAAATTAGTAATAATAATAATAAAAAAAAAGTTAATAAGTTAATAAATTACCTGGCAGCTAGGTCGCATGACGAGAACAGGCCTTCCATATTTATCTTTGTAATTGGATCTATAAATCTTTCCCGTTTCTGCTTCCATTGCAATATCGTCCTACATTATAATAATCGAGCATGTAATAAATCGAATTAGGTTTATTATATTATTATGATGGAAATAAAAGTGGAATTAGAATTACCCAACGTATTTCATCAGGCTTGTAGTCCGTTCTCCATTTCAGAGTTGCATTAAGCATTTTAACAGCCTTTTTGACGTGCCAGTTTCGTGCTCTCAAGTACCGTGCAATCGATGCATCGGTACAATACACTGCCAATTTTCCAGATTGCGGCCCGATTAACTTTCTCACCTCATTAATCTGCAATATTAATCATAGTTAGTTAGTTAGTTAGTGTGTGTGAAAATGGTTGACTAGAAAATGAAGATATACATATATATACATATACCATTTCCTGCTGTAATTCTTGAGGCAACGAATTTTCGGAGCCATCGAAATTGGATTTGTTCGGCCCGGTACTCATAAGTCCTACTACTAATTATGTTTTGCTTTAAGTGATTTTGATACGAGCAATGAGGACTCTGTTATATCAACCAGAAAAATGTATAAGAAATTAACAAATGATTAAATGTCATTGATTGACAGTCAAATAATTAGTAATCAAGAAACGAAAAAACGCAACTTTTAAGTAGCTAGACCACATAATCCACTAAAGTAATTGATTCTTAGGTAACATAGGATCAAGAAAAAAGAGACCATATACTACAAAATGTGTAGAGTGTGCAAATTGTCAAGATGCATTTACGGAGATTAGCTATAATCGCTCTCGAGTTATGATGCTCGATATCATTTAAAGATAAATATCAAATTTTTAGCAACCAAAGATTGGGAAATTGGTTGTGTTTTTCAAATTTCAAGATAATTTAACCATCCCTTTGCCATTTAATCCAATCTTCAGCCCAAAAGGCAAATTGGATTACAAAATTACATTAATAATTTCCGAAATCTCCAGCTTTCTGCCTTATTACATCCTCAGTAAAAATAAAAATAAAAATAAAAAATTAAAAAAAATCCTAGAGAATGAACATTCAGACATCCTCAAAATCAGTTCCCAAGTTTAAGTTAGTTATAGTCACGCATAATGAAGAAAAAACAAAACCCATTACATAGAAAATTTAAAGCAGCATAATGAAATGATTAAACATTTCAAGATTTTATAGACCCACCACCACCAACCACCAACCACCAACCACCACCACCACCACCAGCGCCACCACCACCTCCGACAAGCAAGAAAGAAGAGGAAGAAGAAGAAGTTACCTGATTAAGAAGGTTGCCTTGGTTTAAACAATGAATTTAAGTGGGTTTTGAGGATGCTTTAACAATCTCTACCCAGAAAATGCAAAATGTAACAGAGATTAATTAAGGTCAACCATCAAATAGGGCTGCCTTCTATAAAAAAAGAAAGAAAAAAAAGCTGAGAAGAGAGCTGCCAGTCAGCCATTGTTTTTGTCTTTTTGACGAATTTTATACATTTATTATTATATTTATTAACAAAAATGATCAGTCCACGTGGAAAACTCTGCAAATTAACACCACATTTCAATTGCTTTCCCTAATTTAGACAAAGATATTTTTTTTATTACTATTTTTTTTTTTAAATTGTTGCAAACAGTATTTACAAGACAAGGAATACTCAACCAGCAAATGATGAATAAGCCTGCTGGGGAAAGTTTTTTTGGACTTTTTTTGGACTATTAAGGGGCAGATTGGGTATATTCTTTTACAACCACAGAACACAGCTACTTCAATATTGGTATTTAAATAAATTAAATAAATATAATCAAAATACATTTATTTAGCAAAACTATAAACATATAACAATATATTCGATATGCAATAATTATCATTAAGAATCAAGAAGCCAACAAGGGAATATTACAACTAAAATGAAACAAAACAAAAAGACAGCAAGAAAGCACACAAAACACACAGTCACACACACACACAAACCGACACTTATTATGTCATGACTGAAGTTACAACACTTAACTTCTACACGACGTCGTTTTGCTAATCTTAAATCACCACCACACGGGCAGTCACATGTTTCCATCCCCTTATCATATTTTCCTTCCCAAAGTTGTTCATCAAGCAGTGTGAGTTAAATCTTGAATTCTTAAATTCATCAAAGTCAGTGAAAATAATAAATTAAACAAGAATTGAACTTATCATGATCAAGCTGCATAAATTGATATTTCATTCATCCCAATTAGTTGTTATTACAACTATTTTTGTAATTTCACATCAATAGGGTACTCTACATTCCCCACAGCTAAGTACACAGTACCCTCTTCAATTACCATAACACCATCTTGATTAGCATAGCTGAAATGCTCACATGGATTCACAACAAATTCGATTTCCTTAATTTTCCGAGGACTTAATTTCACACTCCTGAATCGAACTAATCGTTTCCTTGGATTCGAATTTCCGCCTTTCTCGGTTCTTGCAAACAACAACACCGGGTGGGTTCCATGCATTTCTCCATGATTCTCGACTCTCACTAATGCTGAAAATATCATGCTGTCACAAGCTTTTGTTCCTAGTTCCGAAACCGATATGTAATTAACGGAATCTGATTTTTTTGCCCCGTTTAGAAAGAGCTTGTTCCGACTGACTGAGACGAACTCGTAAGAGTACTTTGTGTAGCTTAGTCCGTAACCGAATTCGAAAACTTTCGGACCATTATAGAATCTATAAGTTCGCCCTGGATATCCTGTCGATGGATCGGCTCGCATTCTCATGTCTGTCATGGGTACTTTAGTAAAACCCTTTGGATACCAAGTAACTGGCAATCTACCACCTGAGTGGATCGTAACTTAAATAAGTTTAATCAAGATTTGATATATATAACGGAAATGATCATAAATGAACGGATGGAAATAACTGATCATCACCTGGATTATGGTCACCGAACAAAGTTTGTGCTACGGCAATTCCTCCAGCTTCCCTGGATACCGGCCACAAATGCTACCGATTTCGGG